AAATTCAGAATGATAGCAAAAGGTCTGCTATTCATTCAGAAACTACAAAGAAAACTTCACTATACAAGCAAACCTCCCCATCTTTCTTTGTGTATTGCAAACGGTGCATCACCATCTAGTGTAGGTGGCATACTAAAAAGGGACTCCTTTTTAGGAGTGTCCTTGCCCATGGCAGGGGGTTGGAACTAGGTGATCTTTAAGGTCCCTTCCAACCTAAACCACTCTATGATTCTATGACTCCCAGCTGCGAGTACAGGCAACCAGGCAGTCACTACCAAGCAGCAATACCTCAGAAGGGCATGATCAGTTAGTTAATCAATGATAACAAGACAGAAGTTGTAAGATTTTTTTCCAACTACACATAAGCTTGCAATAAGAACAGTTTCAAAATAAAACATACTTAGAAACTACAGAAGAAAGCAAATCTGCCACTGACTGAAAAGTTGGATGCCTTGAATAGATAGAGCATCTAATCAAAAGGAGGTAGCACAAAATATCAGATGCAGACACCGTCGGCTTCACAAGGAAAGCATGTAGCATTGGGCAAGTAACTGGAGTCACAAGCACAGTGACCTCAGGACAATAACTATGTGACGGTAAACCTGAGTTTTGTTTTGGTTCTGCAATAAGCAGTTGAAATGGGAAGCATTAAGACTACTTTGAGAGCATTCTGACACTATGGAAAGAAGTTACTGTATGAGCAAACGTATTTTATGAGCACATTAAAAAGCTATTCAACAACCAAACGCAAACATGATATGCAAACTTTCATTACACTGGCTAAGTATTCTTAGAAAGACATTTCTCCAAATGTTTCTATAAGAACGTGATGTGGCTAAATAGAAATATTTTTGAAGCCACCATCAGCTTGGAAGTTGGTTTAAAAAGTGGGAACTCTGTAAAAACCTCAAGCACGTGGTGGCAACACAGAGAAGTCAAAATGGAAAAACCCTAGAAATGTGAACAATCACAAGACAGATCTTGAAGGAGAAAAGAATGGTCTGTCTAATTAATAATCAAGGAATACATTGAAGCACAGAACGAGATCAGCCAAAAGAAAATAGCTACTTGGCACACAACTTGCCCAAGGAATATGTATATACAAACTACACGCAGAAGATTGTTTTCCTACAGAAAAAAAAAAAAAAAAGAATGCCTCGTACCTTAAGAAGTTAAAAGCTACAAAACAGGTTTCTTGAAGCAGCTGCTAGGTTAAAACACTGACCTACCTTTTTCATCAAAAATGTTTAGGAAATGGACTGCCATCAAAGCAGAGAGATGTAACACAGTAGTAACTCAAGACAAAAACCCCAAGCAACTTTGTCATAATCACTTGCATTTCAAATAGAAGTTGCTCCACATCCCCAAGTCCCTGTGTTTTCACCTCCTATGAAATAATCAGTCTTCCATTTGAAACCTGACAGAAAGAAGTATGCAACTGCTAGTATTCCACAGGAATTCCTCCATCAGGCAGGGCCCTGCAGTCACACCTAGAAACATAAATAAACAAAAGACACCTTTCAAACTTCTAGTATCTCCACTGATACCTCCACTGAAAACCGAGAAAACATCTTAGTATGGATATTGCAGAAACCTGACTTTCTGCAACCATTTGAATGAATCCCAGCTGCAAACCTATAGCTCAAAAACCCTACCAGTTACAGTGCTGAACTACTGTCATTACAAACTCTCATTACAAAGATTCAGTCTTCTGGTTCTGTTTGAAGTGTGACACATAAAACCACCTTAGAGAAAAACATACCAACAAACGTGTCAAGACAGGGACCTAAATTATGTACTAGTATTCAACTAGCTAAATTTTACCCTATTTGCACCGCTCTTACTGGTCTACTGCTTTCTGTAGCCATAACTAAAAATTCAGCTAAATGAAGTGACTGTATATTCACCAAATGGACTGTAAAACATACGGTTTCTACTTTCCCAGCTTATGGCATTTTACTTGGTAAAAAGCAAGCCCTGTACATACCACGTCAACACTGTCCACCCAGGAAAATAAACTGTCAAAGGAAAAATAGGCTGTGTTTTGACAATGATGGGAAAAAAAAAAATTAAGGTCATTCCAAAGTACATTTTATTTTTCTAGGTTTTTTTCCTTGTTTCTGTCGTTATACTTCAAAACAAAACCACTGAAAAAACATCAAAAAAAATTTTTGGATGAAATTTCTAAATCTCTTCTGCCTGTAATTGGAACATTCAGCTTCTTCAAAGGCAGTTTGATCTGCAAACGCAAACACTTCCAAGGAGCTTCCTGTAGACAGACTTTGTCAGTTCACAGTAATCTTCCAGCTTTTACGTGCAAAAGCTGGATCTGAATACTCTTATGAATTTAACATGCAAGAACACTGCAACTTTTCATATCACTTATATCAGTATAAATAAAGCTAGTACATGCAATTACCACTAAATATAAAGAAGATGTGTTAACTCTAGTAAAAGATTCCTTGAATATACATTTTAAGTGGTAAGCCTATTCGAGCAGCAATTTTCCAAAGTCAAATAACCATGGTTCACTAAGTCTGAACTAGGGAAGATGAAATCTTTAATTGTACTGCAACAAATACGACGCAGAAGAAGGAAGAGACCGAGCCTCCAAAGTCCGTCCAATACTTACAAGTCAGTGATCTCTACAGAACATCCACTATTAGATGAACAAAAACTTACCTTACAGCTCTTCACTGATGCAAATATATAACAGTCATGATGTGTGTGGTTTTACAGCTAAGCATCATTTCAGAAAACTGCCACCTGGCAGCATATTGCTGGAAGGCTTAACAATTTTGATTCCTTCCGCAGCTGCGTGGGGACATCCACATCTGACCAGCCCAAGAGAGGACAGGGCAGAGGGGGAAACTAGGTGGGCCTCTGACCTGGTCTAGTACAGCTGTTCTTTCATTCACACAAATGTAAAGTACTCTGACTGCTGCATTAAAGGCAGCATTTCTCTGCCTTAGAAGCTTACATTCTCAATCTAGAGCTTCCATATTTCTATGTAGGCTCCCCCAAACATATTTATTTGTGCAAGTCTGATAGGTTTAAAATGTATTGAAATTACTGCACGCATGCAGGTCAGCACAGCATGTGTTCCATAGTGTGACACTTCCTAAAATACCAGAAACACTGCATGGATGCCATGTAGGCACAGTGAACATTTAAAGTGGGCATTCCCATAATCCCCAGGAATAACACTGGAATACGCTGCCCAGGGAGGTGGTGGAGTCGCCATCCCTGGAGGTTTTTAAAAAAAGGGTAGTACTTGGGGACATGGTTTAGAAGCGGTTTGTTTTGTCAGGTTAGGTTAACGGTTGGACTTGATGATCTTAGAGGTCCCTTCCAACCTCAACAATTCTGTGATTCTATGAAAACATCTTATGTCCTAGGTCTCCTAACTTCCACAGTATTTATGTAACTTGTCTATGCATTAAAACAGTCATCTCTCATGCTTGTTTTCCACGCAGGGAAAAGCAGTACTGCCCGGCGCATGACACGTTGAGCTATTTTGCCATTAACATGTCTTTTTATGATATTAGGACAATACTGAGCTAAAGCTTGACAGGTCTTTTATGATTCTGTCCTAATAGACATTTTGAGAAAAAGGGTAAGATCTGTTTCTAGTTAGAAGAGGCAAAGATGTTTTCTAATAGCAGCACGGTTTTTCCTCAGGATTTCTTCTGGGTGCTCTGAAGATGGCACAACTAGAACATTATATGTATTTTTTGTGGACTAACCATAATTAGATTATTCCATATTTTATGAAAGTAAGAAAATTTAGGAGCTACTCTCTATAACCAAATTTACACAGGGGGAAAAAAAGCAAAACCTTTTCAGAGGCTTTACCCCACCACAAAAAGTAACCGTTTCCTAAAATTTCAAAATTGAGGGGAAAAAAACCAAAAGTCAAGCTATTTCAGCTGCTTTCTGAAACACTTAAAGTTCTACAATTCTTGTCTATTCCTAAGTTTTCTGCCTTGGAAAGGCAGACTGCAGTGTTGTATTTCCAAAGCCTAACGTCAGCCTACAGGCTACCAAGAGAAACCACAGACTTAGTAACCCAAAGAGTAGAAAATTCTTTTTTCTAGCCTTTTTCAGACCTAGTTCACATTATTACTTTACCTCAGATGAGTATTTCCTAAACTGTGGTTGACTGCTTGGTGCCAACTCATCACTTACAGCAGAATGAGATTTAAAAGTAGACTTATTTTTCTGATAGTACATCGTTATCATTGTCAAAGCAGTGTTCATTATGCATGGAAGGTTCCATGGTAACACTAAATATTCCACATTACAGAACTCTGAAAAATCTGCCTTGAGTATTTTACACAGTTCTCATTTAAGAATTCTTGTACAGATTTGGAGAATATACTGTTTAGAGACAGCTGCATCACTCATACTGTGATAAGTGGAAGGTTATTGATGACAGGAACCGGGGCCAGAATTGTAGTGCTGAATGAAAGTAATGAATTCACACACCAAAAAAAATCCTATTCTTCCCATGCTATCAAGCACAGAAGTTGATTTTTATTTGTTAAGGTAGTCTAACACATGTCACATGGTTGGACAGCAATGACTAACCAGGAAACAAGTGACTAGCTTTTATTGGACAGAGACCCACACACACTCAAAAAAAAAAAAAAAAGCACACCACTCCACCAGTCCTTCCACCATAACAGTACTAAGATCAGGCACACCAAAAATTCATAACATCATACTCATATTTGGGATGGATGATTCCACAATGCAAGAGCACTAATGATACATATGTCAAATGCAGTCTGCCACAAGAGTAGTTCTTCAGACCAGCTCTTAGTTAGCCCCAATACGTTCCCACGTTACAAGAGTCTCAAACATTTGTCCCATTTTCCTTTTGAAGATTCCATTTCTGCATGCTTTTTTTTTTCTTCCTCCTTAAACAAGTGAGGGAGCAGTAGGAGTGCATCACCACAGATCTCAATCACAAACACAGGGTGCCAGGCCACCCAGGTTTACAAAGCTAAAACCAGCATACTGCTTCCTACTGATAACTCCAGTTGCAGTTCTAAAACAAGGCCAAAGAAGGCGGCAAGATTGTAGGGAGTCAAGGAAACCTCCCAAAGTTGGAATTCTGCAAAGAAGCCCAAAGAACTTATTATAACAACAGCAAATTTTTAAACAGCTAGTCATAAAGAGAACTAACAAAACTCTTCATTCGTAAACACAGAACCTCACTCCCCCTAACATGGGTCATGTTAACCGCCACCATCCTCTGGAGCGCGCCATCAGATCTCCAAAGCATGCCATCACTGACAGCGAACACTTGCAGAACTGACCCACGCAAAGAGAAACAGCTGGGTATCTTTTAAGAGTTCTTTTATAAGATCTCCATCCAAGCGACTCACTGAGCTATACTAGAAATAAACCAAACAAATGCTAAAGAGTGTTTAAACACGTTACAGGAAGCACAAATTCCTACAGCTGAAAACAAAATCTAAGACAGAATGAAATCAATCAACGCCGCTCCAAATTACGCCTTCAGACGCGGGGCACCGTTTGGGCTGATCAAGGATACTTAACACCCCCCCACAATCCCCGAAAGTTACACACAGACCCATCAGCATCCGAGAGCAGAAACGTCCCGGGCGCGTTTGTCCCG